TAATATTAAATTAAAAAATAGTAAATAAATAAGTTTTTAATTAATATTTTAAAACATAAATATGATAACAAAATAACCAGGAGGAACTGTACTTATTTTCAAAAAAAAAGTACACAGTCAATGTTGAAAGTCAAATCTTGAAGCACTTAATTTTGTCTACTTCATGGGTCCATTATAAGATATTTATAGTTTTATATAATATAATGTTTGATTTTTACTTTTATAAAATCAATTAATAATAGGTTTATATGTTCATTATAACGACATTTTACAATAGCAAAAGAAAAAAAAATACTGAAATAAACGACACCATTACGAAGAGATTTCATTATATTTTTATTCATTTGTTAATAATACGATTAATTTTCATCGTCAACCTGATTGAAACTTTCAGAAAAACATCACTATGACAAAAAAAAAAATTTAGTGCAGACAATATTTTCTATCTCTTTTCGGCCCACGTGACACTAGCTTAAAAAAAAAGTCAACCAGCATTGGATCCACAAGATAGTGCTACGTAGGTCAAAAAGTGATAGAAAATTATTAATAAAATAAGTTCAGGAGAGTAATAGAACCTTAGTATGTAAGTGTGTCTCTGAGATCGAACATAGGCTAAAGGGTACTTGTGCATTGTCCCTAAATTATTTAATCTAAATATTTCTAGTTACTATTATTATCAAATATAATATATTTCAGGTAACATGTACAATAATCTATGCAAAAATAATTTTAAAAAAATTCTATATATATAATATTAGCATTGCCATGTGGATCCTATTTATTTGCTTCCTCGTTTTGTTAATTCTTCCAACAACAACCATAGTATATGTTTAATTTAAATTTAATTTAATTATATAGATGATTACATCATGCATGACATATTCTACAACAAATATTTTAATAGAAAGATTGATTTATGTTTTTATTAAAAATAATATCTTTCAATTATCTAAGTATTAATAATATATACTAAGTAGAATATTATTTTTCTAATTTGGCCTGATTTACCTGCTAATTAGTAGGTACAATGATGATACTATCCTATGTTTTGTACATATAAAATCAGCTCCACTAATTTTACTCAAACAAAATGTTTTTATTATATATTTTTTATTCAAATTTTAAAAATCTTCTACTCATATTTTGATGGATATAACACATTATTACATGAATAAGTAAGTTATTCACTTAGAAATACGTCATTTTCGTTAATTATATGCATTTCATGAGCAAGATATTTAATTTATAATCGTATGACATTCAATTTTTTGATAATTTAAAACACTTCTTGATCGTGATTCTTGGTTATACTTTTGTGCTTTATGATAACTATATTTTATCTTTTTAATTATGGTTGATATATACATTTTTATTTGACTATATAGAGTGGGGTCAAAAGTTATGTCATTGGATGGTTTGATAGAGTACGATAAAAATACAAGATAGATTTTTTAATATTATGATAGAATTTTATTATTATTTGGTCTTCACATATATATATATATATACACATGAGATTAAAATTAGATGTAATTTGATCTAAATACAGAATATCAAACTAAATTTATATGCATTTAATTTCTCTCTCTCTATCTCTATCTCGCGCCTCCCGCTTCTCTTGGTTGTCTTTCTCCTTATTGAATTTATGTATTTCAAAATGCATTTGAAAAAATATCTAGTGTGATCCGCATGTATTTGGTATCTCGCTTGTCACCCTCCTATCACACGTGCCTCTCTCCTTCTCTTGCTTGTCACCCTCCTATCACGCGTGCCTCTCTCCCCCTATTTCAATGTATATGATAGCAAAAATTACATGTATTTAGGTGTATCTGACTGGTAATTTGATATGAAATTATTAATTAGCAAAACTATATGTAATAAAATTGAAAAACACTACAAAAATAATGTGAATTACGTGGGAATTTTCCTAGGCTTCCTGCGAATTTTTATACTAATTCCTAGAAATTTTTTTATGTAATTCACAGTTTCCTTATAGTATAAAAATGATAAGAATATTTATATAATAAAGTAATTTTTCGTAGAAATAATACTAAATAAGATGTATTAGCCGTCCTTTTTCGCGCCCCGCCAATCGGGCCCACAAACGTAACAGCCAAATGCAACCTTTCCAAAATTTTCCACTCAATTTCATCAATGTGTTCCTTTGGAAATTAAAAGTCATAAATAAGTAGGATCAAAGTACACATGAAGAAAAAAATATAAAGGAAAATAACGCATGTACGTGAAGAACGATAGACTATCAACACATTAATATTCATGTGATACACATAAAAACAAATTTGTTAAACCTTGATTGACTATTTATTTGACTATTACATAAATTATGAAGTGGTTCAAATAAGATTTAATTTAACTAATTTATCTTTAATAAATATTTTTAATACAATTTAAAATTTGTAAACCTTAGCTGCAACATAAATATATATTTATATAAAAAGATTAGATTCTCAAGCACAATGATATAGTAACTCATTATATATAAAACATATTTATATAGTCAGATCACTTATTTTTATTAGTTGTTAATACGGTTAAATCTTGTAATTGACTCAAAATTATCGTTTGTGTAATTAAAAATATTGTAAACCATAGCTGCAAACATAAATTAATTCAAAATTTTAAAATTCAATAAGTTGAAAACTAACAGAATAATACAAATAACACTTTTTTTTCATGCAAAGATTTAGCATGATTTTGTCCAGTTACACTGAATCTAAATAGTAGTGGAAATTGGCTGTGAGGAAGATAAGATTTAGTAAAGAAGCTGAGATGTCTCAATCCATTTTTGAAAGTGTCAAAAGATTAATTTGGAAAAAGTATATATAAAAAATATTAACTCAAATTGTCAAATATTTAATAGTCATGTCCTGTACCTCACTTAATTTACATTCTCTTAGAATTTGTTACGTAGAACTGCACTAGATATGTTATTATTGTTTTTAATAGTGTCCCGTGAGATTAAAAAGGAGAACATTGTACACCAATATAATGCTCCATTTGTCAAGTACTTTTTTCTTCTTAAAAATTTTGCGATCGAAATTTTTTTTTTTACACAAACATTATTATTATGTCATAATTTTTATTTTTTTAAAAAAAAAGCTATTTTTAAAAAATCATCGACAAAACGCCCATAAAATTTTATGGAATCTACAGAGTCATCAGAGTTCAATTCATGTGGACTATGTAACACACAAGCCGCAATTATACATTGCACCACTTGGAATCCTATCATCACCTTTTTATGCTCATATTCGAACAAGTGTTGTTGAGATTCTTTTCAAATTGATGCAATCTAAATATAAAAAGCACTGAATTTGATACCTTTTATTTTGAATCAAATCCCTTCTAAGACGACTGTTAAAAAGTATCTCTAAATTTAGCATGAATTATTAATTTTATAATTAAATTATCAATAATTTTAAAAGCACCAACCTTTATACTTGGAGTCCAGGGTCAAAAGGACCATTTTCCCCTCTTCAAAATGCATAAATGGTCATTCAACTTTTCTTAAAAACAAAATGGACAATTTTGTGATTTTAACAGCCGTTAGCGACGTTCAATTTTCTTTCTTTCTCGTTGCTCAGTCGGCAAAACATGTTCATTTTTAGCTGTGCTTTTCAAATTAATAAGTGAAAATAATTTTATAAAACTCATACTATCAATAGTTTAAATATGAAACAAGAAAAAAAAATTTATATGTGTTTCTGACTCTTATCTCTGTATATAATAAAAAGATAATTTTATCCTATAGTTGCTATATTTTCTGAATTAATATTTGAAAAGGAAAAGAACTTATGAACAAATTTATGATAAACAGGACAAGTAAAAATAAAATTAAAATAAAAATGAAAATATTTTTGATATAATGCCAAATAAAAAAATAAAATTAATGAGTTTCAACATGAGGTTCTTGTAGTTCTTGTCCCTAAACTCAATTAAACTAGAAATCACATAGTTTTAGGTCTAATAACATAGTTTTACCATACCTCTCACATATTTTTAAGACAACAATCGAGAGCTTAAAATTATAAATTGCAAAAATGAAATGATGACACTGAGTTTATCCAATAACTTACTGTACCTGATTGATTAATTTCAATGTTGCGTCCTTTCTTTCAAAAGACATTTTTGTATCTCTTTATCAATATTTTCGTTTGAAATTGAGTAACCGTTGATTGATTGATTCATTGATTGCCTCAAAGATGTCACGATAGGAAGAATGATGAATAAGATGTACCATGACAATGACCATACCCATAACAACACACAAGAAACCTTATTCCACACTTGATAATTCTCCCAATTTATAATAAAATCTCTTGAACAATCCACTAATAATAACTTTGAAATTACTAAACCTGTTAATAAAGATAAAAACCTAATTGGATCTTCTAGTAAGTCTAACATATGTTCCAATATTATTTCAACTTTAGTTATTTCACATATACGTGCTTCTTCATCAATAATATCGTAATAATTCATGCATCTCTCACAAATATATGGCGTGGAACATAAACACATATTTTCTCGAGTCAAGAAGAAGAATATGTACCATAAGTATAACGAATAACATGTAAAAATAGTGAACCATGCCCTCTTCACATGTATCGCGATAATTGACATATTTGTAGAGTCCAATACGGCAAAAATACTAACGCTGCTGCAAAATTACAAAAGATTATAGCAAACAAGATCGATAGCCGATTCCCCTCTCCTAGAAAATTGAAAATTCGTTTTAACATCAATGATATACCCATATTTTCGTTCAATTTTATTATGATCGAAATTTCTATGAAGACAAAATAGCAATAATGCAACTATCAGAGGAATGTAAGAACTAGACAAACAAATTAAAGTGGATCGAAATTAAAATTCTCCAAGAAAGTGTTATTTATAAAGTCTTGCAGTACATATTATTAAGTGAACCAATTAGGATTAGGTTTAGGAAATTAACGTATGGTAAATAGGAAAATTTTAGGCTAACCAAATTATTTTTGGATTAGAAATTTTTAATATTGGATTTTTTTAGGGGTTATCCCTTTTAGAATATATATCGGAAAAGTACACAAATTATCATATTATAGATTTAGGATTAATATTTCAAGAAAAATAAGAAATTATTATTTATTTTAATAAAATATTTTGTTTGGAGGCATAATAAGTATAAAAGAATGTATCTGAATGTTTAAGTTCTTCAATATTTAAAATTTATTTATTTATTTTGCCATTTCAATATTAAAAGAAATTGTTATTTCTAATATTTAATTCCGAATATCTAAATCTAATCCTATTTAACTTTGAGAATAAAATAAATTCAAAATTTAAAAACATAACAAGTATTTTAGAAAGAAAAAGAAGCAGAGAATGAATACATCAATTCATCACGTTCTAAAGCTTGATCATATATAAATATCTGTAGAATATTCAAAAGAAAACAAAAACAAAAATAAACAACGTGTGTGCTTTAAAATGAATAAAAAAAAAATAAGATCTTTAATTTTCTCGACTTTCCGTACTTAGAAATTAAACCTCATTCCAGAGGCTTACAATAAAAACAACAGCAATAAATTCAGTATAATCTTATAGATCGATCTGTATTCAAACTCATCTATATTTTTATGGAACAGAAAATATTGTTTCCGATAGACGTCACGTGCCACCTTGTTCAAGAGGCCATACTAGAAAATTCCCTAGTATCATTCTCCTTTTTGAATTGACCATCAAGTCCAATTAAATTAGACTCATCTCTAATTGTTCCTCTTTCATAATTTCTCCCCTTGTACCTCCATGCAACAATTAAATACACCAAAAAATTAACTCCATTTATTGCTGTTAATATCCAATAAAAATAATCCAATTTACTATTATTAAGATTATTCCTAATCCACCCTTCCTCTACACCACCACTTGCACTTTGAATAATTTTCACTATGGCTGAACTTAACCAACTCCCAATTCCAATTTCACTTAAAAATAATGCACTACTTATACTCCTCGTACCATCGGTCGCTTCATCGTAAAAAAATTCCAATTGACCTACGTATGAAAAAACTTCAGCGATACCGATAAGGAAAAATTGTGGAAATAACCAAAATACGCTCAACCCTTTAGGGTTAGGGTGTGTACGTCTCATTCTCTCAACCAATGCAGCTGACATTAGGGCAAAAATTGACACGAATAAGCCAACACCTATACGTTGCAACGACGTGATGCCACGTCGGTGCCCCGTCTTGGAACGGAGGTACGGGACCACAAATTTCTCGTATATCGGGACGAGGAGGAGCCCGTTGAGGGCGGTGAAGACCGGGACGGAACCGGACGGGATAGTGAAATGTGGGCCTAGTTTTCGGCCCATGATGTTGGCTTGGGTTAGGAAAAATGTTGAGAGTTGGGCAAATGAAATTGAAAGTGCAATTGTTGAGGCCCAAATTGGAAGTATTCTTATGAAGGATTTAAATTCTTCAACTTGTGTTATTGTACATAATTTCCATTTATTGTTGGTGATTATTTCATGGTCTGTTACTACTGCTGCTTTATCCAAAAATCTGCAATAAACAAAAAAATTAAAAAATTAAAAAAAGAGTAAGATAATATCGCGAATATTAGACTTACATGTAAATAATAATGACTATAATCGATAGGTAAATTATATTGATATATCGTGTAAAAAAAATAAGTTTGGTGTGTATAACTTAAATCATATTTGTGGAAAAATGTGAGTCATCCTCAAAGATCCAACACAACTTTAATTTTGAGATATAAAATTACATTTTATGGAAAAAAATATTTTTATATGTATGTCTTTGACTTTAATCTTTAGATAACCAAAATTTGAAATTAATTAATATTTGACCAAATACCTTTTTATGCTAAAAGACTCTAGAAGAAAAAAGGTCACAAATGAAAAGTAATTGGTTGATATATATATAAAACAATAAAAAGAATATACGACTTAGATAAATAACTTATCTCTCTAAACAACAAAAATCCATCAATGTTCCTATTTAATAATGGTTTGGTAACAAATTTTAAAAATAATCTTGTTTGCTATAAGTTGTTAACGCTCAAACATCTTTGGTGTCTGACTATTAAATATTTAGTAAAAAAGAGAATATTCGATATAACCTAACATAAAAATTTGATTCATTGGAGAAAAAAAAGATAAACTAATAATAAAACTAACCTGTATTGTTTTGTATGAGGAAGTTTTCTAGCACCAAAAAAATCACTTTCTTTGGTCTTCATTTCATACAATTCACTTTCATTGACCACCACAACACCTCTAAAATGATTTCTAATAGAAACCACAATAACTTGAACAAATCTTGTAAACACACTTCCCATAGGTTTTTTATACCTATATTTCTTAAACCCAACAATTAAAACAACAATTGATGTAAACATCACTATTGTTGGCACACCAAAACCCCAAGTCCATCCTTTTTCTTGTTGCACATAAACTAATAGTGTTATTCCCAATAATGCACCCATGTTGATTGCAAAAAAGAACCAATTGAAAAATGCATATTTCTTTTGTGATTCTTTCTTGTCTAATTCATCAAATTGGTCAGCTCCAAATGTTGAAACACATGGTTTGATGCCACCTGTCCCAAGTGCTATGAGATAAAGTGCTCCATAGAGAAAAGATGTTTGAGTATTTGTTGATGGAGTACATGGCCTCTTTGTGCATTGTGGTGGTCTTAAGCTGTCTATTGATGCTGATAGTGTTAGTAATATCATTCCCTGATCACAGACGGATTCAGAATTTCAAAATCACGGAGTAAAAGCCATATGTATAATGTATTTATAATTACTTTTAGAGGTTTCCATGTAAAATTTAGCATATCTTATATAATAATATTTGAATGATCACTCCAGAACATATATGCTTTGGCTAACCTTTGTTAAAACTCTAAACTATTGCTAATATCTGGAAAAGATATACAAAAACTTAATTGTTACATTATACAGGACAAAATGTGGAATAAAAAATTCAAAATATATATACGATCCTTTTGTTTCAATCTATTCAACGAGTAAAAATATATAATGTATTTATAGACTAATAGCACTATACTTTAGGGGTCGTTTAGTAATAAAAAAAATTCAGCATAACGTTTCACATATTTTATACATTATAATATGAAAGGGCACACAAATAATTGTTGCATGCATAACATATACATATGGCCTCAAATTAAATTTATATGATATAGTTTGAATCAATGTGGAATTTAAAAATCAATCAAGATTTTCTTAACTTGAAAAGACTCACTAATTACTTCTGCTAATTGATATACATAGATTATACGCTAATTATATATAGATCTACGCGCATGAAATAAATATTGTGAAAAATAAACAAGAAAATAAAATGAGTGATTTAATTTCTTACCATTAAGTAGATAAATGAGAATATAATTATGGTTAAAAATCGACCAAAATAAGCATCAGCCAAAAAAGCACCAACAAGTGTTAAAACATAGGCAGCTCCAATCCAATCATTGACATGGGTTGCAGCATCTGGCAATGATTGATGCATCTCAAACACCAAATATGACACCATACTTACTGCTACTGCAAAGAATGCCAACCTCTCCGCTACTTCATTGACTGCTCGATCGAACGAAAAATAAATAAATTAATTGTTATAAAAAAGTATGACTATATATATATTTTTTTTTAAAAAAAATCAATAATGAAAAGTGTCTAGCTATAAAAATGGCTCAAAAATTGCTTCATGGTCCGAATCACGATAAAATATCTTATCAGAATTTTTGATTCCGTCACGAGATAAAGAGGGTGGTATCGGGGGTATATAAAAAGAATGATAAAAGTTCTACTTTCTTGCTTTTGGGAGATAAAAAGAAAAAAAGATTTAATATATTGACAGTGGAAAAAATGTATATCATAATCAGGTTCACATGATTAAAAGATTAAGTAATTTTTTCATATAAACATTAGTTGAATGTTTATAAAATAAAAAATAATTTTCTATAATAATTCAAAATACATCGATGATATTAAAAAAAAGTTGCACGTCAATACATATAACTTAAACTCGAATAAAGATAAGAAAAAGTGACCTATGATGAATGGTGAAGCCTTCCATCCTCCAGTAGTTCCTTTGTCTGCAATATTCCCTTTATAATTCACACAACCATTACTCACCAAAGTTTCTGTTACCTGCCAATTCGAAAATAATAATAAAAATTTTAATGGTAAATTTATGTAGTAACATATATAATATGAAATAACAATTTGGTAGGTTAATTATATTATTAGTTACCTTCTTGTCATTCTTAATCAAATCAACAAATCCATCGAAAGATGGTTGGATATATGATAATTGGTCATCCAGATCGTCAACGTGAATACTTCTATCCATAGTAATACTACAAAAGTTTATGTACTTTCTCTTCTCAAATACTATAACACTCAATTTATTATTGTTTCGATTTAAAAGATAACAAAAATAATTTTAATGTATATATATATATATATTTTGCTTTTTTAACCATGAAATAGAATTTTATTATTTTTTTATATTGATTTGCTTTAAATTCGGGCCGGTAGATTAAATAAATATTTGAACACTTCTTTTTAGAATTTTATATTCTCAAAAGTGTTGATAACCAAAAATCTAGAAAACAAACAACAAAACGTATTTTTATTGCCAATTGACCATACACATTTCATAAATTAATTTGGTCAAACAAATGACAATATGAGAGAAATTTTCAAAAATATATGACCCCCCCCCCCCCGAACTTAAAATATTTTGTCACGTAATCAAATATACAAAATCAAATTATGAGAAGGGAAACATTAATACATAATATGCTAACCTTGTATAAAAATTTATAATAGTATATATATATATGAACTAAATCAGGTGTTATTTTGTCCACTTTTATTTGTTATAATTTTATTTTTTAGAGTTAAATTATAAAAAATTTGACTAACATTTTACGATTTATTTTTTCATCATATTATTATGTAAAATTGTAATTTTTACTATTTTTCACATAGTTCTTAAATATGTAAATTTTTTGTTCAAAATATCAGGCTACTGTAATTTATTTAACTTTTAAAAATAGTCAAATTAACTTTTGAAAAACACAACATAACAAATAAAAATAAATATATTGAGTAATATTTTTAAATATTTTCTCTTCGTAAATTAAAAGAATAATTTAATAATTCAAATTGCCGTCTAGGGATTTGGTCAGACAATTCATGTAGAATACAGAAATATAAAGACGAATTTTGCTTATATTATTTTAAATAATTAAAATAATTTTTTGACGTGTTAGACGGCTACATTGAAAAAGAAAAAAAAATGACAATTTTTTTTTAAGTCAAGGAATCAGATAAGATTAAGGAGTTTAATTGAGCTTATATTATTTTAAATAATTAAAATTAATTTTTTATATACATATATATTAGGAACAAATCTAAGGAGATCTGATTTTGCTTTTTTATGTATATATATATCATATAAAATTTCTTGAACAGAAAATTAATTAAAGGTACTTTTTTATAGTTTTGGGGTGCAAACTTCAAAATTCACCTTGATTCCCCTTTGATTTTTTATGTGTCTCTTTTTTTATATTTTTAATCTCTTTATTAAAAATTATAACTCTGTCAATATTTATGATCATGTCTATTTCTCAAGTGTAATTAACCCTTCCACCATTTAATTGTTTGTATATTTTGTTAAACTTATAGTGTTACTTTATATTTGAGTAATATATATATATATATATATATATATATATATATATATATATA